CGATCCACGTTTGCCGACCTTTCGTAGTATTTTTAGATCCATTTTATTTTTTGTTTTATATCTCCACTGTCAAATTTGCCAAAATGATATATATTTTTTTAGATTCTTCGTTTTTTAAGCTATAATTTTGAGTTTTGTCGGAATAAAAGTTCCATTTTTTTGTAGTATCTTTTTATTTTTGATTAATAATTGGTAGATTGCAAATGTTTTTGCAAAATCAAATTGTTATTGGATGTAATTTAAATAAGTATTTGATTCATTCTCTAAATTTTCAATTTAATTCAAATTAGTGTGCAATTCTACTTGTTAAGGAAAGGGGGTGATTATAATTATTTCTACAAGAGTATACATAGAGAGTATAATTAGTTAGATAGAAAATAAAATTAAACTTATCACAGATATCTTTTAGTATTTTAGCTTTGATATTTTGTAATGTTTTGAAACAGAGTTAGCCTTAAGTTTATTTTATTCTTTACTACAGACAAGAAGTCTGACAGGCTTTGCGTGATACATTTCTTCACATAGTCAAAGAAACTTTCTTTCCTTTTCTTTCTTTTTCCTTTCTTTCTTCTTTTTCTTTTCTTTCTTCTTTTTCCTTTCATTCCTCTTTTTCCTTTCATTCCTCTTTTTCCCTTCCTTTATTCTTTTATCTTTTTTTCTTTTTGTCATATTCTTTTAACTCGTAACTTTTTTCTGTTGATTTTTATTTTTTCTTATAATAATTAATCTTACATATATTTATATTTTAATCAAACCTTAGCAGATATGTATTGTAATCAATTTAAAAAAGCCCTATTACTCAACACATTTAAATATCGCATTGATTCCAAGAGAGTAACAGTCTACTCATTTTCTTACGATCTCATTATAAAACACTGGCTATCTAAATGATGTAAGTATTGCATCTCGGAAGCCATAAGTGTCCTGTATATCTCCATAAAGAAATGAATTTGTATAAAACACTGCCTATTTAAATAATCTATATATTCTCTCTCTCGCACAAAACCACAAGCCACTTTCTCATTCCACACGTCTGAATGAACCCTCTGTACTTCCCGACTGCGACACACAACCCATCAACCTTTTTTTTTTCATACCATAGAAAGCTACTACAAGCACAAGTATCCAATACTACCACCGTCCTTCGTTTCGATCGTAACTTTCTAACCTCCATTTGTCATTTTTTCCCGCGTCTTTTTCCCTCTCGATGGTCAACCGTGTTCCCGCGTTTTTTCCCCTCGGAATGGACCGATCGAATCGAACGCCGTGTGTCCGTCATCCTTTCAAAACAGAATGAAAAAGGAAATAAAAAGAGAGAGAATGAGATACCGGAGGCACGAAGCGAATAATATAGACAGAGGTGAGAGAAGTGAGGAGGAGAAAGGAAGGAAGAAGGAAGGAAGGAAGGAAGGTCTCGGCAGTCATTATCGGCGACGACGTTTCGCGCGTCGTCCCACTTGGGCCCCGGCAAAAAAAGCGCGTTCCACGCTTTAGTATCCGGTAAACCTACATCTGGAGGTGTCTGGCATTATTCGAACGGGTTCCCCGAGAATCCATGGCCTTTTTTGGTCCACCCTCTTCGGCTCTGCCCCGTGAAACCCCCATGAAAGGCGAAGGTGAACGTCTGTCTGTGGTCGAGACGGTGTGAAAAGACCGCTTAATGAAAGAAAAGAAAATGTTTGGAAAGGGCGAAAAGCGACTTGCGTTCAACTGCCGAGTGTTTCTCTCTTTCTGTATGGGTGACACGCTTTCAACCGACGGACAATGGTTACATTGGATTGTTCTGGAGAGAGAGAGAGAGAGAGAGAGAAAAAGGAAAGAGAAAGAAAAATAATAAAACTATGCGCTCACCGACCTATGAGAGAGGGTGGGAAGGGGGAGGAAGAAAAATATGATGGAAAAAAGGAGGAGGAAAGGTTGTGAGAGAGGGAGATTGCGCGAGGGGGGAGGTTATTATCATCTGAATCGCGTTGGATCGTTTCCATTCACAGGCGACTTGCAGTCCTATCGACCGTAGAGTCGAGCTTATAAATTTATTCAAGCTGGATGACGCTTTAATTGACGACCATTCGACGAACACTTTTTATAATTCAACCGTTTCGTTCAGAAGCGTCGTCTCTCAGTCGGGCATCGAACGTTGTACCCTTCGATACGCCGATTCCCTGATTTTATCGGTTTTCAACCTCGGCGCACGAACTTGTTTCACTCTATTGGATACGAAGAGATATTGGATATGGGAAAATAATATCTTTTTTTTTTTTTTTTTT